ATTTTTTACATAGTTCTTAGACGTAACTCGTCTAAGTAGAGCCCGTAGGGCCGAAATTTTGTCCGTTTGGCTCTATCTCTAACCGTTTAGTGGCAAGAGGGCGATATCCACACGAAAATGACCCCAAACCATTTTAATGTTGTTTCTCAGATATTTATTTGACAGTCTCTGGTGGGGCAACTGGTCAAAATAAAATCCTGGGGGTAAAATTTGTGTCTTTTGGAGCCAAAAGCCTATCTACGACTCTGCCTTTCGTCCGACTTGGGTGTCAGCGCCGCAGGCCTAGGTAGATGTATGCCAGGCACGTCGCAGCGTAACAGTGTTTCGTGAGATATCGCGAAGCCTGTTACGCGAGACGTGGTCTGGCGTACATCTACCTAGTACTTTGGCTCTATCTCTAACCGTTTAGGCGATAGAGGGTCTTTTTTTTCCCTCGAAAATAAGCTATAAAATGGCCATAGTGAACAAACCGTTTGCGGAAGGGCATGCCTGCTTCTTGGCTGAGCGATTAGCGAAGCCTATTACTCCAGTGATGATCAAAAAGTTTCGCGTCTGTCTGTCTGTCTGTCTGTCTGTGTGTCTGTCTGTCTGTTTGTCTGTAAACACGATAACTCGAGAACGGGTTGAGCTAGGTACCTGACATTTTTAGCGTAGCTTTGTAGCGTAAAAAGCAAGAACTGTATTGATTTTGAGCCCTCAAGCTTAAAAATTGACCTGTCAAAAAAATCAAAAACGAAAACCCCAAAATATTACTTTTAATTTTTTTTACATCTTTCTTAGACGTAACTCGCCAAAGTAGAACCCTATGGGCCAAAATTTTGTCTCTTTGGCTCTATCTCTAACCGTTAAGTCGCCAGAGGGCGATTTCCGCACGAAAATGACCGCAAACCATTTTAATGTTGTTTCTCAGATATTTGATGGTCTCTGGTGGGGCAACTCGTCAAAATAAAATCATGGGGGTAAAAGTTGTGCCCTTTGGAGCCGAAGGCCTACCAACGACTCTGCCTTTTGCCCGACTCGGGTGTCAGCGCCGCAGGCCTAGGTAGATGTATGCCAGGCGCGTCGCAGCGTAACAGTGTTTCGTGAGATATCGCGAAGCCTGTAACGCGAGACGTGGTCTGGCGTACATCTACCTAGTTTATAGTTGTTCCGCCCATTGGGGTTCAAAAATGTCCACGAAAATCGATAGAGCACTCTCAAAAACATCCTAGGGCAGCCCCGATTTTTGTGTCACCTCTTCAATAATAAAACAAGTGTTCAACTGCTCAACACTTGTAAGTGTGCAACCGCAAGTTCAATACTTGCAAGTGTTCAATTCCGAAATAGTACACTTGCAAGTGTTAAACTCGGTCTTTGTGCACTTGTAAGTGTTCAACTCCCCTGTTGTACACTTCTCTACATCAGGCGATTACTTTTGGGGAAAGTATTCAACAGAGGAGTTGCACACCTACAAGTGCACAAATACCGAGTTGAACACTTGGAATTGTGTTACTACTGAATTGATCACATGCAAGTATTGAACTTGCGGTTCAAGTATTGAACTTGCGGTTGCACACTTACAAGTGTTGAGCCACTTAAACACTTGTTTTATTATTGCAGAGGTGACACAAGTATTGAACTTGCGGTTGCACACTTACAAGTGTTGAGCCACTTAAACACTTGTTTTATTATTGCAGAGGTGACACAAAAATCGGGGCTGCCCTAGAATGTTTTTGAGAGTGCTCTATCGATTTTCGTGGACTTTTTTGAACCCCAATGGGCGGAACAACTATAAACAAGCAGGCATGCCCTTCCGCAAACGGTTTGTTCACTATGGCAATTTTTAGCTTATTTTCGAGGAAAAAAAAAGACGCTCTAGCGCCTAAACGGTTAGACATCGAGCCAAACGGACGAAATTTTCACCCAGAGGGCTCTACATTGACAAGCTACTCCTTGAGAGAATTTTTGAACCTTGGATACCCTCATTCAGACTCTTAGGGGTAGTTGCCAGGATTTGCCGTAGGCGTTTCGTTCTCTAGGAGGCGACCTTAATATATCCTGAAAAATTTCAAGTCTCTAGCACATCTCCTTCTAGTGAAACAGACAGACAGACACACAGACTCACAGACAGACACACACGGGGTCGTTTGCAGAAGCCCGCTGGATAGCTTTTTCAAAGCAGAAGGGTGGGCTAAAAACAACGGGGCAGAGCGGCCACCCCGTATTTGCTACAAAATACTAAAATTGCCTAAACTAAAAGTGGGACTGCTTGTTGCTCGGTAAGCGATTTAACGACTTCATGTTATTCCGAACATCGCCCCGAGTCCCCCTGAACCAGCCCTCAGCAATTTGAACGCGTGGCGACATCGGACCAGACCAAAAGGAGCGTTCTGTTTACTAATTTGGACAAATTTGGACATTTAACCGCGAAGAGCTCCTAAATAATGGAACTTCTAGGCGTTTTTAGCAGAATTTTGCTATATAAAGGCCCCACCTGGCCACGGACCCTTGGGTAGAACATCAAGTGTGGCACCTCACTGAGTGTGTTCTGAAGTGTAGATTTGATTGGCTGAGCGATTAGCGAAGCCCATTACTCCACTGACCGGAAAAGTTTCATTCTGTTTGTCTGTCTGTTTGTTTGTCTGTCTGTCCGCACGATAGCTCGAGAAGGAATTGAGATAGCGATCTGGGAATTTCAGGGTCGTTTTGTATTACAAAAAGACAGGTCGAGTTCGAAGATGAGCCTTCTAGTTTAAAAATTGACTTTTTAAAAAATCAAAAACCAAAGGTTGCAAATATTTATTTTTTTCAAATATTTTTTTTATGGG